TACCGCCCGTGCCCCTCCTCCCACCGCCCGATCAGCCTCTCCCCCACCACCACCTCTCCTCTACCGCCCGATCAGCCTCTCCCCCCACCACCGCCTCTTCTCCACCCACAGCTATAGCTAGAGCCTCTCCCCCCACCACTACCTCAGGGGGGGAGCTGGGGGGGGTGCCAGAACCGCCATGGTTTACCTACTTTTATATTCTACGTAGTTTGAGTTGGAGTCGAATTTATTACTAAATTAACAGTAAAAATTTTAGTTTGGGACTAAGAAGTAGTTTATTAGTGATAATTAATTTATGTTTTTAAAATAATTCATCCATAATTCGTGGAGCTATAGACAACTGGAAAATTTATTTTATACATAGATTGTATACTCATTTGACTAGAGACTGAGGAACAAGTCTTCAAAACTGAATTTCATAAAAGTTAATAAGTAAATTTTTCTAAATTCAATACAAATTTTGTGTACTTGGAACTCATAATTTTGTACTTTTAATATAGATTTAGTGTCAGGAATTTGCGTAATATGGATTAAGTTACACAACGATTGTGTATTTTGTTATATAAAATAGTAGCATTAAATACGCAAAGTTTGTGTGAAAATATTTTATAGATTTTTCTTAATTACAAAGGATTCCTATATTTTTTGACATACAATTTGTGTAAAATGAAATTTACACAACTATGTGTAGCCTATTCAATTTTGAACAGAATTATTATGTTTAGAATTGAATCTGTTATACTTATTTCTCCAAGTTAATGTCAAAATTGTGGTATCGAATACAACTTCCAAAAAAAAACGATATTACTATGGCGTTCTGTAACATTCTGATCCTTAATAATCTCCATTAATACAAATATAAGAGCGAATTTTTACGTTTCTTTTAAATACTCCGTAATTAATAAAATATTGTAATTCAAAACTTTTGTTCTCGTATTTAAACGAATCACTCCATATTGTATATTTTTACAGCAAATCTCAAATGCATTTTACAACAAAGTCGAGGTACAAAAATGACAGTTGATCGCGGGAATTTTAAAACTCGAGAAAAAAAAACAAGAAAAGATGGAGACGAACTCGCCCTATTTTTTGAAATGCTCGAAGAAAATATCACTAAAATCGATGAATCCATCACAGGTCAGCTACATATATTAAAAAAATAACACCAGCGCCTATCACCCGATGACCCAGGGCGCTTACTGGCCACTCTATCAAATAAATAATTATTAATAAATAACACCAGCGCCTATCACCCGATGACCCAGGGCGCTTACTGGCCACTCTATCAAATAAACAATTATAAAAAATGACTAAAAAATGATTAATTATGAAGACAAGCGAGTATCACCAGATAACCTGGGACACTTACTGGCCATCACTTTATTAACTAATAAAACATTGATTAATAACACAAGCACCTCTATCGTCAGTTATTTCATGGCGCTTACTGGTTACTTCATTAACTAATAAAAAATTGATTATTAAACGCAAGGCGCCTATCACCAGATAACCCATGAGGTATCCTACCTGAAAAAAGGATGACGGAATTTTATGCGGAATTTCTTCTGTAATAATTTCAGGAAAGCCATATGGCATTACATAAAGATTTTTGGTTTGATGCCGTACGTAATTCCATTTGGAAAAACACATGGAACTACATATTGGAAAAATAAAAAAAAATTTTTCATCTAGAAATAACAGCAGAATAATACTGAATTTACTGCAGTAATTTATGGCAGTAATTCATGCGTTATTTATTGTCAACAATTAGTGTTACCATTCGGATAATAACTCCAAAATAGGTAGTTAGGTTTTGCTGATAAGTGAAAGATTGGGTCGGCGACATTGTGCCTAAAACTAGGATAGTGATTTTTTGCCGTCAAGTTGGCTGGAGCAGTCACCGAGAATGAATGAACATAGATGAATAGCGCACACGTAAAATAAGTAGGTACGTTATTAACAGCCGAGAGATCGCGCTACTGATGCGAATCTCTGTGAGACACGTACGCAAAGTTTTATCATTGAATGCGTGTTCATTTTCCGCGTACGCAGTGTGTTGCGTACGCGGATTCTCCTAGAAAATAATTCATCCCCACATACGCAGAGCCTACGTCTCTGCGTACGCAGTGGGTTGCGTACGCGGAAGATCCCAAGAGTGCATTGACCTCTGCGTACGCAGTGGGTCGAGTCACACACGTGAAGTTTATATTTCTTTGAAACTTTCACAAGCGCATTGATC